GAATTATCTTTTTGACCATGATTTGAGCTTGATTCACACTTGTTTTTCTAAAACACAGCCAGTAGGGTTGTGTGTTCATAAACAATATATGACAGTTCATATATTTTCTGATTAAATAACATATTTACCAATTAATATATTAAAGTTGCACATCAGTTACAATCACCTGGTCTGGATCAAAGTGTTTCAAGTATATTAAAACGCCTCAGTCAAAGTCGAGACCTCAACCTGAAAGTTGTTCAGCTGTGTTTGCAGTGAAGGGTGGTTCTTTAAAGTATTGACTCTACAGACGTAAATACAAATAAATAACAGAGATTTTATATTTCTCATGAAAAACTATGGATTAAGTTCAGACTGTGTATCACATAACATCCCAATGAATGCATTTAAGATTTTGGCTGTAACATAAAAAAATATAGACATGTTCTGTGGGCTCAATTTTTCTTTTCTTTGGCTTCAGGATCCTGCAGCAGATGAGGAAGTTAAACTCTAAAACCAAGCAACACAAATTTAGGGCAATGATGTGAAAGCCACAGAAGGACTAAGGCTACCTGTAGTATTCGGTCTCCTTTACGGATGCGTCCGTCCATGGCAGCAATGCTGTTTGGGTTCACCTTAAAAAAAGGACATGCATTTAGAAACTATAAAACAATGGAAACTATTGGTTGAAAAACTGAACTTTAGGTTGTTTATCTGGGTTCACCTCTCCCACATAGATCCCAAGGTCCTCCTCATCATCAGTTCTGTAGCATACGGTCAGACCCAGTTTATCCTGCTGCCGAGACTTGTACAGCTCTACCTCCTAGCAGTTAGCGGTGATTTCAGCACCATCAGAACAACAAAAAGGATGAAACACTTTCTGTACTGCTATGATTAAAAGTGGCCTAACAGGCCCTCACCTCATATTCCAGGTCATCGTTTCTGTCCACTTCATGCTGATTAATGTCAAAGTAGTCAGTGGGGTCGTAGTACACAGGCTCAGAGAAGCTGGGAATGAAAACATTCAGGAAACTAACATGTAATTGGAGCAGCTTTTAGCTTCAAATACACAAACCAGCATGGCATGAATTGATGCAACAGATGAGCTCCACTTGGACATTTTTCAGAGACCTATTAGACTATTCCCACTCACAGTTCGTTAAACAGATATGGCTCTGGCAGAGGAGGCAGTGGAGGAGAGGGAGGTGGGTCGGGTGGGGGTGGAGCTCCGCAGGGATGCTCTCTGCTCCGGCCCAGAGTCAACATATGCTGGAAGCTGATGTCTGTTTGGGTGCAGCTGTCCACACAGTCGGCCATGCCCATGGTCACTGGCACCTGCCCTCCTGGAGCTCCAGCTGGGCCCGCCCGTCGCCGAGCTCCACGCTTTAGGATGTTTGACAGCCGTGGGTCTCTTATGTCCAGGGTGGGATCTCCAGACAGGCGAGAAAGCTCCTTCGCATTTACCTGCAACAGAAAATACAAGAGCAGAAACTAATTAATTGGACCTGTAAAAAAAAAGAACAAATAAATAAATAATTTCCACTAATATTGATCTTCTCTGCAGGTGATTTTACTCACAAGATGCAAAAACTGCAAACATTATGAGATGTTATGAATAAATTATGTAAAGTCTAACATTAGGATTTGTACCAGAGAAACAATTCATAAGACTAAGACACTTTCTGCAACCATCCCAAAACATTCAAACCATATTTGCCCCCATTTTAAAGGAGCCCAGGGTAACTTCTTAAATGATTTGTATTAAAAATTCCACACTACACATAAAATAAAGATACTTTACTCCTATTAGTACACATAAAAGTTAGATAGATTTCATTCAGGTCTCGAAATAAACTCCATAACATATTTCTATGCAGTCTTTAAGCACTAGATCAGAAAGAAGATGAAAGAGACCTTTAATCGACCATCGGCATCAAAAGAGCACAGCATGTTGCCTACATGACCCCTCTGCAAAGAGAAATAGAAAAAAAACATTAAAATGTAGATTTAATAAGTAATTATTTTGAAGGATGAAAATAGGTTTCTGAAAAAGGTATTTTATAAATGAGAAAACACATTTTATTTTTCATTTAATTCAGTTTCTTCATATAGCGCTAATTCGTAACACATGTCATCTCACGGCACAGAGAAAATACAGTTAGATTGGTTAGGAAAACCAGTCGATTGCATCCAGTCATTGACTTGAAAGACATGCTCCTCCTGGATGAGCCTGCAGCGATGTTCTTCGCTTGACTTTCAGCAATCCCTCACACCAAGTATGCATGTAGCAACAGTGGAGAGGAAAATCTCCCTTTTAACAGGAAGAAACCTCCAGCGGAACCAGGTTCAGTGTGAGCAGCCATCTGCTGAGGCCGACTGCGGTTCAAGGAGACAGAAGTAGACGTATAAAAAGAAGAAGAGATATAAAAGGTAACTGTTAACTAGCCCCACAGGCGGCCATGTCCAGGAAACACACAGCAAGGCAGACGAGCTCAGAGCCAGCTCCCATGTCAGAGGACGAAAGAGAGCTCATCCAGTTAGTCACGGTAAAAGAACCAGGACTATACTCAAATCAGTCCAGGCTCCAACATCTAAAAAACAGAGATGTTGATGGCAGCAGCACAGCTGATATTTTAATCCAGGATTGAATCACAGCCAAACAGGATCAGAACAATAAGAAACAGCAAAGAATACAGATAGAATGAAGCAAAATGAGGTAAGCAGTCCCTATGTGATCAATCAACCCAACAATTGGCAGCACAGTACAGATGATAGCTCAGGGTAACCTGAGCTATTTTGGATGAGATATAAGAAAAGTAGAGCAGAATAAGGCCAAGGTAGCGTCAAGGAGGAACATTTATCTAGCCACAAGATCAGGCTGCTAACGCTTTAGAAGGAGGATTTTAAATTCTATTGTGGATTTAACATGAAGCCAATAAGGGGAAGCCAAGATAGGAGAAATATAATTTCTCTTTTTCATTTTCATCAGAACTCTGGCTGCAGCATTTTGGATCAACTTAATGCTTTTAATTACAGTTTGTGGAATTCCTGATGGTAAAGAATTAGTCCAGCCTTGAAGTAACAAATGCATGGACTAGTTTCTCAGCATCACTCCTGGACAGGATATTACATTTTTTTCTTTTACAATATTTCAGAGATAAATGAAGTAACCTCTTTGATATGGGATTTAAATGACAGGTCCTAAACAAATAACACCAAGACTTTTGACTTTATTATCTGAGATAAATTTAATCCCATCCAGATGAAGTGACTAAATAATCGTCTTATTTTTCACAGACTCTGGTCCAAATACTATAACTTCTGTTTTGTCTGCATCCAGAAGCAGAAAGTTAAGAGTAATTCAGGTTTTTATGTCTTCAGACATGCCTGTAATCTATGTAATGGGTTAGCTTCATCTGGATTAATAGACAGATATAGCTGGGTATCATCAGCATAACAGTAGAAATTAATCCCATGCTGTCTAATAACTCTACCGATTGGGAGCATATATAAAGTAAAGAGAATTGGTCCTAGCACCGATCCCTGTGGTACTCCACAGGTAACTCTGGAGCACGAGGAAGATTTATCAACGTAAACAAACTGAAATCGGTCAAATAAATAAGATTTAAACCAGTCTATGGCTGCTCCCTTGATACCTGCAAAATATTTAAGTCTTTCTGAAATAATATTATGATCAACTGTATTAAAAGCAGCACTGAGATCCAACAGGACGAGCACAGATACAAGTCCATTATCTGAAGCCATGAGAATATCAATTGTGAATTTCACCAGATTAAAACTCTTTAAAATGTTTATTGTGGTGGAAGTGGTCACATTCTTGTTTCGCAACTATTTTCTCAAGAATTTTAGATAAGAAAGAAAGATTATATATAGGTCTATAATTGACCAAATCTAACACTAATTCAGATAGGAGTTCTGAAAACTGATCTTCAAATTAAGAGTAAGGAGCTGGTGGAAGATAAAAGGTTACAAACAGAATAGGTTTTTCTTATTTGCTTTACAATTTGGATATAGGAAAGTAAGTAAAAGAATTATAGCTATTGGACAAATCATTAAAATGGACCGAAAGATCGTTTCTACTCCTCCTTCTTGTCCAGAATTTCTGGATATGTGAAAATTTAAATAGCTTGAAGGCATTGCCTCATTTATGCTCACATAATCCTCTTGCTGCAGCCAAGTTTCTGTAAGGCAACATAAATGAATGTGATTATCACAAATCTAGTCATTAACTAACAGACTTTTTTTTTTATCTGAAACAAACTTCCAGAAAACTGTAAAAGTGCGGAAAGCCTGAGCTCCTTTAAATCAAGACTAAAAACACATTTGTTTAGGATTGCCTTCGACTGTTCTAGTTAAACAGTTCAACTAAAACATCATTATCATCATTTTATTTTCTTTAGTCCAACTGTTTTTAATATTCTTTTTAGATTCTGCATTTTTTATTTTATTTTTATTTATTTTTTTATTTTTTCCTACTTGCTTTGATTCTGTGTTATCTTCCTGTATTTTAATCATGTAAAGCATTGTCTTTGTACTGAATTGTGCTATACAAATAAATTTACCTTGTCTTGCTTTTTGAAGAAAGACATTTTATGGTAAACAAACCAATATTTATTTGAACTTTTTGCCCGATTGGAGTCATTTTAATTAGATTAACATTTACTCCTTTATATTTCTTTGTTTGATTTTGGTTGTGGGTGAGACACCGTTTTGCTGGATCAATGGATGGGTAACAGTAGAGAAGCTGTAGAGAGGTGCGTATAACTACGACTCTGCTTCCTGGTCTGCACCCTTGGTTGTCAGATTTTAGGAGGACTAATAAAATTGGTCAGATTCTTAGAAGGAAAGGCTGAACCATCCAAACGTTGCAGCTTTATATTGTAATTCTTGGATAATATGTGGAAATTAATTTCCAGTTTCTCTGTACTCACAGAAATATTCTAAACATTATATTTGTTACTTGTCCTTGATGGACAAGAGGTGGGATACAACCTGGAAATTAACCTATCGTGTATGAGGGGAAGTCAGACTATAATGGATAAACCTAAACATGGAGAGGACAAACCATTCGGTCTATGCAGAAAACCTAAGGTCAGGAGTTAAAGCAGGGATTTTCATATTGCACTACGGTGTTCCTCTAATCCCAAACAAAAAATTAGAAAAATCCTCATAAGATTTTGATGCCTCCTGCCAACTGTGGGAAGTTCTCTTCACTAAAGTGTATTTTTTAATGTCTAACTTAGACCCAACAGTTATATCTTCTGGTATTCAAAAGGTTAGAACATACTTTTGTAGCAATTAAACTCCAAAACAGCAATTTCAATTGTTCTCTTGAAGATTTTTTTTGCAACATTAATCCAACATTCGTCACATGTGATGTTTCTGGAGGCTTTGCAAATGTAAAATGTCCTAACGATGCTATTTCTGCTAAGGAATAAAACATAACTTACTGACATTTATACCTTTTAAAAATGGGAAAATCACACACAGGCGTTTCTCATATAGCACACATGACTGGAACCTTTTTATGCAGCGATTTAAAGGTTATTTTGAACAATTTGAAGAGCTCCTCACGGCTGGAGTTAGAATAATCACCTTGATTAGATCTAAAGAGCTATCTGAGAGTCTTAGAACGAAGGGAGGACTGTAGCAGATGAAAAGCCTGCTAAGGAGTTTAAAGATGGAATCAAATATTATTTTTCTTTCAAATTATTTTTGTTTTAAATGAGCTTTTCAAGGCGAAATTCATTTTAAAAAATAACTACCAACATGTTTAGATCGGTCTATTTGAGTTTACCCCAGAAGCAGACGAAAAGGGACACGCATTGTTGCTCTTCACTTATTTTAAGAGAGGATTTCCATTCCTATTAGACTCTCATGAATGTACAATGTTTTTTCAGGGTTCCCATTTGCTGTAGCTCATTTTCTTTGGCACTGCAAGGTGATTTATCCATTTTTAGAGGAGTGAGCAGTATTTTTAGAAGAGACATTAAGGGTGAAACCTTATTGAATCAAAATAGGGAAAAGGTATGAATACTATGCATACAAATCCGAATCTCAGCAGATCAAGATGATTTTATTTAAGAGATGTTGTAGCCCTGTTTGCTGAAGAATTTCGCTTATTTTCAGAATTAAAGGGTTTTAGATGAACATTTTTGAAAACATTTTGAAGACAGCAGAAGCAACTTTCAAGAAACTCCAAGCAAGACAAAATACTGGTTACAGTAAAAAGGAAACAAAGCATCCAGAGTAAGAAAATAGTGATTGTAGAAAGCATTCTGCTCTTGTGATTGTGTCCTAAATGTAACCATGTTGTGACTGTGTCTCACAAATGCTGCATTTTATTGTTAAATGTAGACTGAATTTTAAGTTAAATTCCTTTTTGCTTTTATATAAAAATGCTACTTTCTTAATAATAAATACATAAAATAAAATGAAAATGACATGTAATTGGTATTGTAATTTATTCTTGTGATTTTATACTTGTGTTTATTTTTAAGGTTGCCTTTTTAATATCTGGCTGGGGGACTACCGATGAAAATTAGCACTCCTTAGCTAACTCGGGTATATTTACATTGTTTTAATGTTGATTAATGTACACTGTCCCCTTTCAAATAAACAATAAATGAAAATGAAATGAAATGAAATTTGCATGTTTACACCCATTTTGTGATTAAAATGAATACTTTGTGAAACAGAATTGTTGAATTAAAAAAGGGTAACATTTCAAATTTAGAAAAAAGAGCAGATAGCATTTAGAATAACAAGCAATGTCAAAGGGCCCAAGGTTAAGAAGGCTGATTGCAGGTGAAACGTTTATTTTTGTCGCACTATTCTGTTTTTGTAAATTTCTTTTCATATCTACAACAATAACTTTATTGACACAGTGACCCTGGTTCTGCTAGAGGTTTCTTCCTGTTAAAAGGGAGTTTTTCCTCTCCACTGTC